TGCAGGCTTGGTAGGTGCTGTCAAAGAAGAGTGGGTGAGTAACTGCATGGCATCTTGCAGATAGTGCACACTGCTGCCACTGTCCCTCAGTGGCGGAGGGAGTAAATGCTGAAGGTACCGAATGGGTCACCAGGAGGTGGTCTGCATTGACCTGGATAGTGTAAGGTTTCTCGAGCGTTGTTGGAGCTGCATCCATCTGAGCAGTTGGAGAGTGTTCTATTACATTCCTGCTGATGCACATGCTTTGGGGAGTCACGAGTTGAAGTAATCACCATAGAATCTCTTCGCTTTGACCTATTTGGTAGGCACATTATTCAGATGGCAGCTCCAATTCCGTTTCTCATCAATATTAGCACCCAGGATGATGATAATGGGGAATTCCGTGAAGATATACCCAGTGAATGTCACTTGGCTGTGGTTAGATTCTCATTTCTTGGATTTGGTCATTATTTGTTGGTGCAAATGTTCTTTGTCACATAGCAGGCTAACTTCAATGTTGTCTAGGCATACTGCATTTAGATATCTACTGCTTCAGTATCCCGGGAGCCACAAATGACGCTAAAGTAGTGTGCAATCATCAGCAAACATTCCCACTTCTGACCTTATGACGCAGGGAAGGTCATTGATGAAACAGCTGAAGGTGGTTGGGACTGGAACCTGATCCTGAGGAACTCCTGCGGCTGAGAGGATTGCCTTCCTACAATCATAAGCCTCTTCTTTATTCAGTATTACCAAACCAGGGTGAAGTCGGGTAAGGACGATAAGAGAATGTATAATGGAAACATAAAAAAAGGAAAAAAAGGAGCAGAACACTAAAACACAGAACAAGTAGAAAATTAAACTTGTCCAACCAGTACAGCATAAGGTAAGAGTCAAATACAACCATATAAGGACATAGTTTCTGAACCTTAAGTAACTGTTGGCGGTTCACTGTTATGGACATGCAGTTAAACTACCTGAGCCACAATAACTATCTGTATAGCTTAAGATAGTCACCTAAGTATTACTCACTCGGAAAGGCCGGCATGCTGTGAGCTGATGGTGGGGTGAGAGAATCTTGGAAGATAATGTGGAAGTGGAAGTCCTGTCGAAATTAGAGGACTCAGAACGTTGTCAGAAACTGAACAGCATCCTGTCTTTGTAGTAAGTAACTGACATACAATTTATTTAATACCAATGTTACGTGCAACCATTCTGACACGAAGGTGTCTTAATATGCTGTACTGAGCTGTAAAAAGTTGAGTGTCTCCAAGCTAGACTTCGAGACCTCTTCCACATGTCTGTGGTACAAGTTTGATTAAATTCACCTTGTTTTGATCTACCGAGGTCTGAAGATGCAATCTTTTCAAAAACCAGCTATCTAAGGAAGAATAACATCCTCTCGTTCCCATTGACTTTAGCTTTGTTATGATTCCTTAATACAATGCCGTGTCAAATGGAGCCTTAAGATAGCGGATAGTCCCTCTCACATTTGGAATTCAGCTGTTTGGTCCATGTTTGCACCAAGATTGTAAGGAGACCAGGAGCTGAGTGGCTCTGGCTGAACTCAAACTGAGATCCATGACCATGACATTACAAAGCAAGTGCTGCTTGATGTCATTGTTGTCACTCTGTTTTGACTGCATTTACGTATCGACAGGCCAGACAATTGACTGAAGGCTTGTCCACACAGACCACGTGTATGGCTTCTCTTCACTGTGAACGTTGCTTTTACCTTCCATGTTCAAAGCTCCTGAGGACTGAGTGTTACCTGCAGCTCTTGATCCAATGTTTGACTTGAGCTGCCTGTCTGTGAATTCTCCCTTGCCACGTCCCTGGAAAATAAACTTAAAACAGTCAAAAGTGGAATGAATGCTGCTGGATTGTCATAAAACCCCACCTGGATCATTAATCTCCTTGAAAGGACAGAAGTTGAAAAAAACAGGACAAAAATCAGGCTGTGGGAACTGGCTACAGAGCCAGTCATTATTTGTGCAGAGCCAGGACAGTGCGCGGTTTGAGTAATACCACAACAATGCTGTCTGTGTAACAATACAAACTGACCATAACCTTTGTCAGTCTGCAATTAGATAAATGATAAATGAGCTTCTGAAAATGCATTACTGTAAGCAAGTGGGAATTCATGGACCACCTTTAGACACAAGCAGTCCCCCTTTGTACTTGTGAGACTTGCATCTGGAGTACTGGGTTCAGTTCTGGTCACTGTACTTATAGAAAGTTGTTAATATGTTGAAAGCATTTCAGGGAAGATTTAATTGACTAATACATGGAATGAGTGGATTGCCTTATGAGGAAAGGCTAGAATTTAGAAAAGAAAGAGGAGACTCGACTGAAACATAAGAGATCCTGAGGGCACCTGACCAGGTGGATGTTTGAAATATGGTCCCTCTTTTGAGAGAATCTAGAACAGAGTGTCATTGTTTAAAGGTAAGGTGTGTGTCCATTTGAAACAGTGAGGAACATTTCCTTTCTCTCAGAGGGTTGAGAATCTTTGTAATTCCTTTCATCAAAAGGCAGTGAATGCAGAATCTTTAAACATTTTTCTAAGGCAGCAGCAGACAGATTCTTGATGACTAAGATGATGAAAGATGTTCGGGGATATGCGGGCACATAGAGCTGAGGTTGAAATCAGATCAGCCATGATCTTATTGAGCTGCACAGCAGGCTCGAAGCGCCGCGTGGCCTACTCTTGTTCCTCATTCCTATGTTCAAATAAACTGGAGAACAAAGAAACTCGAGTCTTGTCGGATTATTGGAGGCGAGGAGGGTGTTTGAGCTCCAACTGCACCCACCCAGTGAATTAGTTCCATTCTATACCCTCCCCCGACCAGCTTCAATTAACATCTGGAAAATTTTAATCAAATCAATCTTCATCCTTCGAAATCCAAGGGAATACACTATTCCTGCTGAGATGATGCATTTTCAAAAAAGGAGAAGAGAACATATGAAATAGGAACCACAGCAGTCCATTCTGCCCCTCGAGCCTCAAAAAGGTCAAAGCTGATCTATTTAGGTTTCAATTCCACATTCCCACTTTACCTTGATAATTTTTTTTAAATTCCTGTGTGCATTGCTGGCTGAACCTACTTGCCACTGAGGAGGTGGTAGTGATCTGCTTTGTGAACCACTGTAGTCCATGAGCTGTAGGTGGACCTACAATGCTGTTAGGAAGGGATTTCAGGATTTTGACCCAGCAACACTGAAGGAATAGCAATATAGTTCCAATGAATGGTTAGCAGCTTGGAGAGAATTCATGCCCAGAGTCTGAGATCTACGGCAGAGAAAAAGGCTCTGCTGACTGAATGATCTTATCATTATCTTCCAAGTACTGTTATTCCACCTTTTACAGTGGACCCTAATATTTTTCCCCACCTTCATTCCCTGTTTTCTGACTCCCCTTCTTGAATACTGGGGTTACGTTAGCAACCCTCCAATTCACAGGAATTCTGAGAGTCTATAAAATTTGAGGATAACCACTAGCGCATCTGCTATTTCTCGGGCCACTTCCTCAGCTACTCGGAGATGAAGGTTATCAGTCTCTGGGGATTTATCTGCCTGTAATCCCATTGGTTTTCCCAATATCGTTTTCCTACTAAAACTAATTTCTTTCAATTCCACATTCCCATTAAGACCATGTGATCCCCTTAATTTTGGGACATTTGTGTCCTCCTTTTTGAAAACCTGAGACACATTTTATTGGCCTACCATCACTTTGTGTCCTATTATAACTTACCTGTTTCCGATTGTGAGGAGACCCTATTTTCTTCTTGACTAAGCTTTTACTATCAATCTTGAATTACGAGTTTAATGATGATCAGGAAACAGTTGTTGACCGCCAGGAAAAACCCATCTGGCTCATTAATATCTTTCAGAGAAAGAAACTGTCATTCTTACCCGGTCTGGCCTGTACGTTACGTTACTCCAGTCCCACAGCAATGCAGTTGACTCTGGACAGCCCTCTGGGGAATCACGGATGGGCAATAAATTCTGGCCGAGCCAGCAATGCCCATATCCTGTGAATGAATAACAAAAAAAAAAGAGTGCTATTGGTTTGAATGGTCCCTGCAACCGTACTCATTTTGCTTTCTCCTGTTATTAAATCCCTTTGCCGAAATCTTAACTGTTCCCAATCTTTAGGTCTGTTGTTTTATTTGCCTAATTTGTATGCTGTTTCCTTAAATTTAATAGCTGTTCATTTCCCTTTCTCTGCTATGGTTTGACCATGTTTCCCATTTTGTTCTTATGCCAGAGATTGAGATGAATAATTTTCATATCTTGTCCAAGCCCTCTTACAATGTTTGCCATTAACCATCTCCCATCATCTATTTAAAA